TTCCATAACTTAGGCGCCACCGCTGAGAAAGCCCTCCTCCGAGTAACTGCTGAGAAAGCTCCTCCTCCGAGTTTTTCATTGCTGCAATGGGAATATGCATAATGTACCTCTCTAGGGATTCCCAACAGTACCTTTGAGAGATTGCCAATGGTTCCTCCCCCTGCTTCTTTACTCTCAGATGACTCTTGCACTACAAATGACTTGCACTGACAGCTTGTTTGTGTCTGTAGCACAAAAAAGGTCAGTGTGTTCATCAATTTCTGAATGGCTGTTTCCCTTTTACTGACCCAAGCATAAATAATGATGGGCCATCTTACCCAAACAGATTCACTATTTGCTTAGGATGTAACAAAGCCACCTGTGTGATCTCAGATGAGAATTCTTTAACAAGAAATCTCATTTTGTATGTGAGCTTTTGTGCATGGAATCATAGAATCATACAATAGTAGAGTTGGAAGAGTCCATGAAGGCCATTGGGTCCAACCCTCTGCTGTTGTAGCACTCCAGTTTACACCATCCCACTCAGATGGCTGCCCGGTTTCTTTTTGAATGTGGGAATGCCCACCACCTCTCTAGGCAGCTGATTCCATTGTCTTATTGCTCTGACTGTGAGGAAGCTTTCCCTGATATCTAGCCTGAAGCTGGGTTGACACTGCTTAAATTGATTATTCTGTGTCCTACATTCTGGTATTAGCAAGAAGAGATCTTGACCTTCCTCTTTGTGACAGCCTTTGTGGTACTTATAGAGGGATATCATGTCCCCCCTCAGTCTTCTCTTCTCAAGGCTGAACATGCCCAGTTCTCTCAGTCTCTCCTCATAAAGCAGTATTTCCAAACCCTGGATCATTTTTGTTTCCCTCTGTTGGACCCTTTCTAACTTTTCTCAGCTTTTCTTAAACCTTAGTGGCCCAGAACTGGACACAGTATTCCAGTGAGGTCTGACTATAGTAATGTAGGGGAACTACTGCTTCTCGTGATTTGGAAGTAATGCTCCTGTTAATGCTTCCCAAAATAGCATTTGCCTTTTTGGCAGCTGCAATGAATTGTTGGCTCATACTTAGCCTATTGTCCACAATTACTCTGAGATCTTTTCCTCTTTCAGTTCTGTTGAGCCACATATTCCCCATCTTGTATCAATGCATTTGGTTTCTTTTTCTTAGGTGGAGGACTTGGCACTTGTTCTTACTGAATCTAATTCTGTTGCTTTCAAGTTTATCAAGATCGCCCAGGATCTTCATTCTGTCTTCTAGGGTATTTGCTATTCCAGCCAATTTTGTATTGTCTGCAAATTTGATTATTTTTTTCTTGTACTTCCTCATCTAAATCATTAATAAAGATGTTGAAGAACCCTGTGGCACCCCATGAGTTACCTCCATCCAATTTGAGAAGGTGTCATTGATGAGCACTCTTTGTGTCCTATTGAACAGCAAATTTAGGATCCACCTAAAAGTTTCTCCATCTAGTCCTCTTTTTGCTAATTTGCTTATCAGAATGTCATGTGGCACTATGTCCAAAGCTTTGCTACAGTCTAGGTAGATTATGAACACAGTGTTCTTTCTGTTCGTTTTGAAGGTTATCCAGTCAAAAATGAGTTGTTGTTGTTGTTGTTGTTGTTGATAAATCCATGTTGGCTTCTAGTTAGCATTGCATTTTCTTCAGGTTGCTTGCAGACCAATTTTTTAATAATTTGCTCCAGAATTTTTCCAGGGATTCATGTCAGGCTTACTGGTCTGTAGTTCCCAGATTCATCTATTTTCCCCTTTTTTGAAGATAGGGACAACATTAGCCTTTCTTTAGTCATCTAGCACTTCTCCTGGTTTCCAAGATTTATTGAAGATAATAGCCAGTGGTTCTGAGAGATCCTCCAGATGACTCTGGGATGGAGTTTGTTGGACCCTGGAGATTTGAACATGTTTATTGCATCTAGACATTCCTTGAGCATTTGTTTATCGATCTTGGGCTGCCATCTCTCACTTTCAGCTTGTACTTCCTCTTGGTTGTAGTTCTTTTGGGAGAAGACTGAGGCAAACTAGGAATTGAGTGCCTCTGTCTTTTACTTGTCTGTTATCACTCTGCCATCCACTTAAAGTAGCTGGACACCCTTCTCTTTCTCATGTTTTTTGTTATTTTGTTTTATTTGTTTTGTTTGTAGTTGTAGAGAATCTTCTTTTTCAAGATTTCCCACCCCTCTTGGACTACTTTTCCCTTAAGGGTGTGTTGCTATGGCACTTCGTTTATCATTTTTCTGAGTTCGTTAAAGTTGACTTTCTTGAAGTTCAAGATACATGTTTGGCTCACTTATCCTTGTCTTCTTTACAATTGAGAATTCAAGTATTGCATAGTCACTTTTCCCCAGAGTTCCCAAGGTGGTTATTTTGTCCACTAGGCCATCCCTGTTAGTTAGTATTAAATTGAGGATAGCTGAACCTCTTGTACTTTCCTCTACTTTCTGCTGGAGAAAGCTGTCGGGAATGTATGTCAGAAATCTCTTGGAGAGGCCATGCTTGGCAGAATTTTTCTCCCAGCATATGTCAGGGAAATTGACATATGATGATGATGATGATGATGATGACGACGACGACGACGACGACTATATCATTCTTCTTGGAAATGTTGGCAAGTTGCTTTTTGAAAGTTGTACCCTTGTCCTCTTTTTGACTGGATGGTCAGTAATAGATGCCAATGACTATGTTTTTCTTATTTTGTGCTCCTTTTAAATTAAGCCATATGCTTTTGATAGGGCTACTACGTTCCTTGTATTTCCGTGCAGATATATATGTCTCTTATGTATAGTACAACTCCACCTCCCTTTTTGTCCTTTCTATTTTTCTTGAACAGGCTGTATCCATCAGTTGTAGAGTTGCAGTCATGTGAGTCATCCCACCAAGTTTCAGTTATTCCTAATAAGATCTTAATTGCCCTAATGTACTATGATCTCAAGTTTGTGTTTTTTGTTTTCCATACTCTGGGCATTGGTGTAGAGACATCTAAGTTCATCCTCGCTGAGCCCTGGTTTTCATGTGCAGTATCAAACTGTATCTTTGGAACTATATTTTGGAAGTACATAATGGATTGTGATGGCCTGTGTCTCCTTGCTATTTAGTCATTTCCATATGACCTTTTAATGTAGTGTTTACACAGTATTGCCACTAGCTCTATTGAGGGGAAATATGTGGATCCATTCAACCTGTGTGGCTGTTTTTTCAAACTTATTTTGCTATTGGAAAGGGCTCAAATGTCATCCTTTCCCTGTGCAATTAAAGTGATGTCATCACATTTTTTTCTGAAAGGAAGTCACATGCACTGAAATGACATTGTTTGCATATAGTTTGCACATGCTCCAAAATGTGCAGTGTTTTCTGAAATAACACATTTGTAAGAGAGAGATCCATACTCTCTACAAAGGTGAGCATTATGAATGCACAAGTTTCAACCAAAAGATGACTAAGTATATAATTTGAAAGCATCACTGGTTCTAACCCTACTATTATTTTATGACAGTTAATTGTAAAAGCTGCAATCAAAGAAGAACAACAGAAAAGTGAGAAAGCAATAGCAGAAGCTGTGAAGCAAACAAGAGAAGAATTACTAGAATATATAAGTGAACAGAAAAGAGTAAGTACAACTTCTCACAGCAGTTACTCCAACAGACACCAGTTATAGAAATTGTTATGTTTAGGTCTGAAACAATTCAGAAGATGTATACTAAATTTTAAATTAACTTTGCTGAATAACCTAACAGCTGTATTCTGGAACATGCTACAAGATGTCAAGGTCCTGGAAAGAAAAGTAGGATGAACGAAACTTGTATATTTTCACAAATGTTTGTATTCTTCTGTCAGCCTAGCCAGCATAGCCAATGGTAAGGATGAAGGGAGTTGTTAGCCAAAACATCTGGGTGGACACAAGTTGCCCACTGCTGACTTAAAGTTGTACATACTAACATGTTTAATGCTAGTTCATGTCCAACAGAAATACACAAAGTGCACAGAAGCCATGTTTTAGAAATGTTGTACACAGGTTATTTAAACATAAAAGGGTGTTCTTTCTACTATTCTGTTAGTGAACCATTTTAGTTGGGTTCTTTATGCATATGAATGTAGAACTTGACTTTCATAGTCTGGGACTAGTGTACATTCAGCACTGGCTTCTTGTTAATTGCAGGAACTGTCCTCGGGAGCATGTGCTCCTTCCCTACAGGGTTTCAGGCCTTTTATTAAGGAAACCACAGGTAGTGCATTTGCTTCAGTTTGGCACTGACAACTTGCTTAAAGTCTGCTAAAGGAAGAGCAGAGAATTTGATTCCAGAAGACTTTTAGGAAGAAGTAAGGCAAGCTTCAGTTTGTTAATAGCAATCAGTGGAGAACCAGTGTGGCATCTACACCAGCCCTGCGAGTTGTAATAAAGAAAGAAAGAAAAGCATCTGTCATTAAGATATTAAAACCAGAATGCACCCGTCTCTCCATCTAGAGCTGCCGTGTCCCTCAAGGGCAGCAACATAATAGTGTTTCCATGCAGGATTCCCTTTTGCCTGCCTCAGAGTCACCCCAGTGGAACAGTTCTGGATAATGAATGGCAAACAACAATAAACAAATAGGTAAATAGCACCCTATCCCAAATAGTTATGTGGCAAATTGCAGGCTAGACTACAGGAATTGAGATTTGGTTGGAGGCAAGGCTCTAACCCATTTTGGTTCTGATTAAAAGCCCCACTCCACCCTACCCTACAATTAGACCACTGTCAGTAAAATATTATTAATTCTTAGTCTGGCTGCTGTACAAACCACTTAGAGAAAGTACTGTCATTGGGCAGTTTTATGGTCCACTGTCAGTAATTATGGTCCCTTGCTATTGGTGAGAGGGAAGGAGACTAGATCAAAGCACTAGATGTGTATTCTGTGGTACTAACAATCCGTCCCTAAATTGTTGAATTTACAATGTAGCTTTATTACACATGGCTTGGATCTCAAGCTAAATTAATGTAAGGTTGTTCAAGGAAGGAAGGATTCCCATCTCTTCCTACCACCTGCAGCCGTTGCCAGATTGCATTTGTGAGTGGAGAAGGTTTTCAGAATAATATGGCTTGGGGCATAGAGTGATCCTGCAAGGAGAAGGGTGGAGGTGGAAACTTTCCTTCTGTGAACTTGCTTGAGTTTACTTATTTTAGAATTTGAGCAAAATTTTAAAGCAGCAAAATTATTTCTTTAATATCTGTGTGTTGTTGGTATTAACGGAACCAGTTCCATCTTTTGTGGGCAAATGGCAAGCAGCTAAAAATAATTCTAAGGTATCCAAGCATGAGGATTTTTGGAAATGCCTACATTGGTTTACAAAGAGGATATTATTTTCAAGAGCTGTGATATAATGGAGAGCATTGAATATATGCAGTATAAAAACTGTGCTATTTGGCTTGGACAAAATATTTGTAAACGTTAGTGGTTTTGAAAATTCTTATGAAGGTATGGCAAATGGGCTGATATGGATACTATGAATAGAACATTACATTATTCTTAGTCAATATGTATTATAACTTATTATATAATGGATACCTGAGCACATTTCCCCCCACATTTCCATTCACACTCGTATAATAGCATGCAATACAATAAATATGTTCATAATTAAAAGATCAATTCCATGCATGAATGGCCAAGGAGGTGCTGATTTTCTTTTTTAAAAAGTTATGAATAACTAAAAGTACAACTGGATGCAAATCATACTGTGGAGCACTGAACAGGTGAGAACCTAAAAGCTGTCATGATTATAAAAGCTTTAATAAATAAAAGTCAGTGCCTGTTTTAATTTGTCTGGAGAGGGCATTCTATAGATGTAGCACCAGCTTAGAAAAGGTACCTAACTAGTTACCTAATTTCTGTGAATGGCCTTACAAAGAAGGACCTATCCCAATGATTCCAGAGGGCAAACAGGTTCATACCAGGAAGGCTGACCTTCACACATTCTGGTCTCAGGCTGCATAGTGCAAAACCAGGAGTTGGAATTTAGTCTAGAAATGAATCAGGAGACAAGAAGTACTGGTGAAATATGGTGAGCATGGCTGGCACTGGTTACTAACCTAAGGCACAATCCTAAGCATGTTTAGACAGGAGAAAAAGGCTACAGCACTTAGCATGTCCCAGCCAAAAGCAAGGCTTTTCCTGTCTGAACATGCATAGCATTGTGCCCTTGATGTATTTCTTAGCTGAAGTCTCAGAATGCTGTTAATAAGCAGCCATCTAAAGTGCATGGATGACTATGCTAAGTTCATTATTTTCCATGAGTAGCTGCAGCTGTGCACAGTAATGTGAGTGGGAAATTTTCCCAGTGCTTTATTTTTCCATGGAATTTTTTTCCATTTCATAAGTTCATTAGTAACAATGAATAGACGCCAATTGCAAATACAATTTTAGGCAAATTTGGCAGTTTCAAAATTGTAACTAATGTTTTTCAGATGGTTATCCCTACCAAAGGCATGAAAGAACGTGTGGGTATCCTTGAATTCTAAGTGAGTAGGGAAATGAAAACAAACCATTTATTAGAAATGGTTGTGTATGGTCTTGGTTTTTAGTAATTGTACAAGTTGTAACATCTGAAAAAGATGAATTGTTGTCAGCATACTGTGCAGCATTCTTTTGGCTACTAAGATTTAATAATATATTAACAGTCTACAGTTTTTGGGAGGGAGGGCTGTTCTTAAAGCTGAGCAGTGGCTTTAATGTTTTACAAGAATTTCAATGCAATACAATTACATTGGGCAGTATCCAAGTCAAGTTGATTTACAATGTACCGCATAAAGCATCTCTAGTACAATTTAATATTAATTATGTATTACATTTATATCCTGCCTTTCCTCCAAGGAGCCTAAAGCACTGTACATAGGTCCCACCTCTTGACCTCATCTTCACAGCAACCTTGTGAGGCAGATTAGGCTAAATCACCTAGTGAGCTTCGCAGCAGAATGTTTGCTACAATCAAACTCTTTCGAACAGAAATGTGCAGAAAGTCAGTGTTGCCTTATTACTTCTCTTTTGTATCTTCACCTGACAAAGAAGGAGGTTGAAGAGGAAATCCCTGAGGACATTGTAGATCTTTTCATTTGCATGCCTCAGCCCTGTAATCCCCACCTTGTTCAAGATCCGGTAGTACATGCTTCACATGTAGTTCACATGTAGTTGTCACAGCCTCACCAGGCCTGCCCCGCTTGTCACCTCAAGTTGTTGTGACCCAGTGAATGGCTACTGGGATGTACTAACATCATTCCAGTTTTCCTCTTCCTTTTTAAGCTCATTAAAAAATCCCTGCAAGTTTCCTCCACTCCAATCAGAATCTTCTTAAGTTCCTTTAAAAATAACTCCCTTGCTGGGACCCCAGTGGAACTCTTCTATTCTTTATTAGATATACCCTTAAGAATACCTGTTCCACATGCATTTGCTAGTGTCCTTAAAAATAGAATACAACTCTCAGGTGTAACAGTAAAGGTCCAACATCTTATGGTAAAATGTGCAGTAGAAAATAGGTGTGAGCTGAGAACTGTTTGTATCATGATTGTTCGCAGTTGTGTTTTGGGCCTAAGTTAGAATGACCTGCACGTGGGCCTAAGTTTAAGACTGATGCGGTGTGTTTCTCATGTGCAAAATGGATGTTGGTCTGAATGTTTTGATAAATGACAGGATAATTGAGGGAACAGAATTCTAAGCAAGCCAGAGCCTCACTGAAAGACTTTTGTGAAATGTGAGATGTGTTTGTGGGCTAGTGTATTTTTGAATCTGTGATATGGGGAGAGGATCAGGGCTCTGGGAGCAGGGTTTTAGAGGTACTGCAGGGACTGACAGGACACCTACAGAGAAGGGCCAGGTATCAGGGAGGATGGGAGGAAGGAGGAGGCTGGGAACTCCGAGGAAAGGAAGTGGTGGGAAGGAGTTGAGGTGCATGTACACTAATTTTAGGAGCTTGGGTAATAAGCAGGAAGAGCTTGAAGCTCTCCTGGGAATAGGAGGGTATGACCTGGTGGAAATCACAGAAACTTGGTGGGATGAAAGACAAGATTGGAATGCGAACATAGAGGGGTATCACCTTTTTAGAAAGGACAGGAAGGGAAACGGGTGGGGCCATGGCTTTATACGTCAGGGAAAGGATAGGATGCAGTGGGATAGAATGCAGCACAGATGGGGATTTGGCAGAGGCATTCTGGGTGAAACTTAGGAGTCTTGACAGGGAAAAGGACCTGAAAGTGGGGGTATGTTATCGCCCTCCAGGTCAACTTGAGACCCTGGGTGATGTCCTGACAGGCCAAATTCTAAGGATATCTCAGGGGAGAGACACAGTAATTATGGGAGATTTCAATCTCCCAGATATTGGTTGGGAGACTCACTCGGCGGTGACAGCCAGGTCACGTCACTTCCTGGAGGCTATAGAGGGAGAGTTTTTCACACACAGGGTCCAAGAGGCGACGGGGGGGAAACATCCTTGATTTGGTCTTGACCAACAGGGAGGAGCTGATAGATGAGGTACAGATTAGGGGAACTCTGGATGCAAGTGATCACTCCATCCTTTGCTTTGAGATCAGGGGACTGGGGACATGCAGCAGGTCAAGCACTAGAAGCTCTGACTTCAAGAGG